GTAAGTAGACTAGAGTGGTTGAGAGAAGCAAGTGTGGTATGATTGGTGGTTGACAAAGAGGGGGAGGGGTTTTGAAAGTGAAAATGAGTGGATGAGTATGTATGTCAGTCAGGAGTGACAGTTAGATGTTGACAGTTGATGTGGGGTGAGACAGTTAGTTCTGTGTGTGAGAGAAGTGAGAAGCAGTCCTGTGTGGAATGAGTTAGTTCAGTGAGAAACAGAAGGAAGGCTGATAGAATAGGAAAAATTAAATGAAAGTAATTAAAGACAAGTTATAGGAAAGGCTGTATGTCCTAGAGAGAAACAGTGAACATATATGACCTTGAGTTAAAGTGTTACAAAGTTACCTGAAAGTTCCCTGTCAGTAAGGGAGCAGATTGTGTGTGATACACCAAGCAATTGTTCATTATTTACACATTAATAGTTACATTGTTCTTCTACCCTTTTATTTATGAATTATTTCAATAAATCCTCTTTTATTCAAGTATACCAGATCTGAAAGAAATACTTCCTCAGGACCACATAGTTCCTTGTAAGCCTTGAACTCGGTCTACCTAACCAGTAAGAGCAGAAGTAAAAGTATAAAGGTTTGGAAATCCTTAAAATTTCCTGGTGTTCTACCCAGTAGAACAAAATAAAAGGAACACTTTTAAAGTTAAACTAGTCCTCCTCTATAAGGAGGACGTCACACCCACAATGGCACCCTAAATGATAACTAGTTTACTAAAGCATGCGTTTTCATGGACTGACACCCTACTTCACCAGATGCATTCTAGTTTCTAATACATCTGATGAAACAGGAGGCTCTCATTCAGTTAATTAATTCTTAGGAAACACAGAGCTTCTCATATGCTTGCTGCTGTAGTTTAAAGTAAAGGTAAAGGTTCCCTTGCTCGAAAGCCAGTTGAATCCGACTCTCAGGGTAGTTTAAAGGCACAGCTAAAATGAAGAATAAGTCATTCATATGAGAAAGTTAACAAGTTGTCAGATAAACTAATATAGTAAAGCTTTGCTATGGTCTAGTCAAGGTTGGACTTGGAAAAAAATATACCTATATGCTCGTTAAGCAAATATTTTAAATATCATTGCTCATTGTCATCATCACCTTGCAAATGTAAAGTTTCAAAGGAAACTCATCACTGACACTTTGGATAATAGAATTTGAGAGTGTATCTCGTAGAACCGTACAGAAGAACCTTTATTACAGTCACAGTCCAGCAAATACATTAGCAACTGAAACTCTCACATTGCACATTAAAGTAGAAAGTCTGCATACCTGAAGAACTCAGAATACAATGCCCAACTGAAATCTAATTTCTTGCAGTCAGTTCTCATTCTTTAGAGAATGAAGGGTTTATTAATGTGCTGGGTTTCTCTGTCAGATTATTTGAACCCCCAGGAGTTGTTTCTCCACCCAACCTGAAAGCTCTCTCAGTATTTACTGTGATCTAAGCTGAGCAGTCACCTTTGGTTCTTGTAAATGTGACATGAATGTTCAAAAGAAAAGGGAGGCTATTCTCAATGCTAACCAAATTATTATCACCACGGAGCTATAGACTGTTCCGAGAAGCAAGTGTCTTGTTAGCTACCTTACAACACATCTTAATGTTGTCTAAATAAAACCTTCAAGCAATTTATTCTGTTCTCACATTGTAGGTAACAATGTGACAAGCCTTTTTCTTACATGTTCACTCCAATCTGCGACACCCTAAAGGTAAAGGTTCCCTTGCTTGAAAGCCAGTCGAATCCGACTCTAGGGTTGCGGTGCTCATCTCCGTTTCAAAGCCGAAGAGCCAGCGCTGTCCGAAGATGTTTCGGTGGTTCATGTGGCCGGCATGACTAAACACCAAGGCACATGGAACGCTGTTACCTTCCCACTGAAGTGGTACCTATTTATCTATTGCGACACTCTACCTAAGACTAAATAGGACTGCGCTATGGCCACCACTATCACCACAGACAGAGCACTCAGAAGAGTATGGACAGTGGAAGGAAATGGGTGGTTTGCTTGGGTAACCCAATCTAGCTCTTCTCTCACACTCTGCCCCCTCCTCTGGCTGCCTTTGCACACAGACTCCAGGGCAGAACAGTTATATATGTAAAGGCGTGCTAAGCAAGCCATGGTCAGCACTACAGAAGCAGCCTTGAATGAATTTATATGGGACTGCAAGTTCTGGCACACTGTTGTTTCCAGGTTTGGCTTTAATTCTACTATTATTTTTAAATTTACAGTTTTGCAATCTAAAAAAAAAAGACCAAAGAAACACCCTTGACACCTGCCTGTGAGGACACCTGCTCCTCTAAGACAGATGCCATTTGACATGAGTTAACTCCGGCTTCTTCTTCAAAATGGATTCCCAGAACTTGCATCTGTTCCCTGAATGGCTACAGAGCTGCCCACCTCAGACCTAATCTTGGTAAGGCTCTTGACCCAGATATGATCCTGCTGAGCCCCCCACCTCATATCTGATCTTTCCTTTCGTCTACCTGTTCCCCAACCTGCTACTGATGAATCTACAAAACAACCGGTGATAGTCAGTGGTTTAAGTAATGCTAATATATGACAGCTTGAAGCCGTATCTTTGATATGATGTAGCATGTAATTAATTTCTCTGGTAGCTTATCCTGTTTTGTTTCCCTTCTGCATTTGGCAGCTTTTTTTCCCGGTGGCTTCATTGCCTTTGTTGGAAGGTAGCAGGGGTGGCTGCTTGCTGGGTTTTCTGTTTGTTTTTCCCTTTCCTTCTCTTTTGTAAGTTGCCTGGCTTGGAGCTGGAGCTCCAGACGACCTACCGAGCGCACGGCTAGGCCTCTCGGATAGGAGCCACACAATAAAAGAATTTGCACAGCCTATCAGAGCGAGCAGAGGCGTGACCTAACCACTGCCTGGATGACTCCCCCCCACACACACACTGAAGGAGAACAGGAAGGGAATATTTCCAGGTATCTAGAATTAAAGCATTCCAGAACTTGGGAACTGGAGTACACAAGGAGGACCCCAATCAAAGGGCAAATCAGCACAATCATAGTGGAATGAGAGAGAGTGGAAAGCCAAGTCAGATTATAAGGGTGGGATAGCAGCAACAAAGACTGCTGGATTTTCTTCAGAGCTAAACAACAACATATACAAATTGCGTGAACAAAGCTACATCCGATGGCTATGTGATGCTTATTAGTGATACAAACAGACCACACTTGAAAAAGATGTATTTACGGTCTACGATAGTTTGTTTCAAATTCTTTTATCCTACAGAATAAGCAGCAGAGTGACAGTTTCAAAGTTAAATAGTACAAAGTCATTAACCACAGCAGCAAACAACAAAAGTATGAATAAAACCAAGGAAGACCAATATGTTCAAAACTCTGGGATGTAACCTGACCTATTCGTTAATTTCAGTGTAATTTCTGAAGTATGATGTTGCTGCCTGGAGTATGTCATTAGAGGGGGAAAAACTGAACATACTTTTTGGGCCCTGTCAACGTCCTTTCCATCTTCCTTAGTGCTACTGCAAAGGTAAGCTGCCACCCGGTCTTCACCACCCTAGGGCAGCGGTTTGAAACCTATGATCCAGGGAAGGTGGTTATTTTGAGGTTCCCCGATATAACCCATGGCATTCCACCACACTTCACGCAAGATACAGAACCAACTTCGGGCCTAGAGATGTGAATAGTTTGTGTGCTCTCAGCCCATCTGCAAGAGAGAAAATACTGCCATCCATCTCATTTGTGTGTGTGTTAAGCGCTGTCAAGTCATTTCTGACTTATGGCGACCTTATAAATTTATGACCTCCAAAACATTCTATTGTTCTATAGGCTTACTTGGGTATTGCAGGCTGAAGGCTGTGGCTTCCTTGACCGAATCAATCCATCTCATGTTGGGTATTCCTCTTTTCCTGCTGCCTTCAGCTTTCCCTAGCATTATTATCTTTTCCAGTGACTCGTTTTCTCATAATGTGACCGAAGCACAATAGCCTCAGTTCAGTCATTTTAGCTTGTAGGGAGAGTTTAGGCTAAAAATGTTACACAATTAAAGTTTTAACAGTAGTAGGTCTCCAATTTTTTAAAAACAGCTCGGCTTCAGAAATTCTGGCAGGTAAGCAAGGATACCTAACAAATGATTCTACACTGTGAGAAAACACCACCTGCTGAGAGATTTCTTTGCGAGGGAGGGCTTTCAATGAGAGCAAAACAAGCTAGCCCCATAATGCAGGTCTTTTATTAGCAACATCTGCAATTGATAATCCTAAACTTAGCCTTTCCAAAAATCAGCTAATAAGGAAGGCATTACGTAGGAGCTTCACCTGAGCTGCCCAATAATCTGTCAGCCTTACTGACATCACCAGTTTTCCAAAACATATCACAAACAATTTGCAAGCAGTACAGGGACAATGTATGGCGACTGTCACCTATAAGAAATATACTTCATAATCATGTGCAGTCTGAAGCACTGGAGTGGGCAAACAGTGCCCCTATACTATCCTTCCCTTGTAACAACGGCTGAGGATCAATGAGTTTGCAGCATTTGATGTGAGAGACGTCAGTATGGAAAGGAAAGGGTACATCGTCAAAGCACCTACTATGAAATGCTCATTTTCTACCAGGGCTGTTTTCTGGCTGTTCTGAACAAAAGCTCTAACTGCTGTAATCCGGTAAATCACCTCAGTCTGCACAAGCCCAACTTCAGGCTGCAATCTGCACTGTGGCAAAGGAACCCACCCTGGTCTTTCCATACCCAAATACAGCCATACCTTTTGAAGACAGGTTTTGTAACAGCAGGATGCAGCATAGCCTGGTTCTGAGATTAACACACAGAAAGAACAAACCCGCCAAATGCAGAGCACAGAAGAAAGAGTTTTCCTGCTTAGGGCAGTTCTAGCTATTAGTTCCACATGAAGAGATGCAGAAGGCATCTCTGGCAGGTTGAAGCGATTCTTACAGTCAAAGAGGTGGGGAGAGGAGACAGAGAGAAGGAATAACCTGGAGGGGAAAAAAAAGAAACTTACCTCTACCTTTCCAGAGGTGAAAGATAATTCATGAGGGAATTAAAAAAAATCTTCAGACTCTTCAGTAAAGTAAATAAGCAGAGCAGACGAATCCTAGAAATTCAGCAAACATGCACATCAATCTTCGATGAGCTCCTGTCAGATTAATTTCCCCTGGGGGGGGGGGAGGGGCTCAGCGTCAATTGTTGAATTCTAGAAAGGAAAAAGGTATAAGTTTCCCAATTAGCTCAATGACCTAAGATTTATATTCCAGTTTCAGCATTGCTTCTGTTAGCCAATTATAGATAAAACTGTGGTATCATGAGTTAAAAGTGCAGCTTCCATGCTGTGATATAGCATGTGGATCAAAAGTGCGGCTTTAGTGCTTCTGATTCCAGCAGTGTAGTCTGGACTGGCCCCTGCTTTACAGACCAACACTAAATATACCAAAAAGGACCGTGGTGTTCCATAGCTAGTATAGAAAAGAATACCACCATATTAAGAATACAATACCAAATTATTTATAGTTGTTATCTAACATTCAGTAATCTTTCCAAATATTCTTCTTACAAAGATACACAGTTCTTCAAGGGATAGTACAACACTCCAAAGGTAAGTACAAAGGTTGCTGAAGTTTCATATTATTCTTGTTCTTTTCTTCTAGATTGCTGAAGAGATCCTCCAGCTCTAGCAACCAAATGTGGTACGGGTGTGGGCGTGTTTTTGCAAACTTCCTCAAATTCGCATACAATGTGGAAATGTCACATGGAACCCAAGCCTTTATATGTTATTTCCTGACACTGATTTGATCTCCACAGAATAAACTCTTACGAAAATAAAGGCAACTTTCTGCTTCATTACAAAATGACAAAAAGAGACTTCATCGACTTTTGCACTTACCTTTGGAGTGTTGTACTATCCCTTTAAGAATTGTGTATCTTTGTAAGAATAGTATTTGGAAAGGTTATTGAATGTTAGATAACCACTATAAATATTTGGTATTTTATTCATAACATGGTGGCATTCTTTTGTATACTAGTTACAGACCAACACAGCACACAGACCTCTTCTCATGATGCCAGAAAGGTCTCTTGTGAGGGAAACTCCACTGTTACAGGAAGAGATGTAGGATCCAGCCCTGCGTGTTCTACACAATGAGCAATTTGGGTTACACATAAGGCTGTCTGATGGGGGGGATAATATTTCAGTAAGATAATATTGCAACTGTATTCTGCAACCAATAAACTCTAAAGCCACCTGCTATTTCAAGGCCAGTGAATCCCACAATACAGTTTGATGACTGGTTGAATTCAGAAAGTTCAAAGTAGGCAAACCTCTCCTACCACCTCCAGATATGTGCAAGCCTTTCAAGTTTTACTTCCAACCAATCAGTACAGGTGAATTCCCAGAAATACCAGTCTCCCACCTTCAGAAAAAAATCTTTCGCAAAGACAGAACCAAGAACAGTATACATTTTTGCTCCATCCATCAATAGTTTGTTAAGAGGCTAATACATTCATAGGAAATTGACTATTAGAAATACTCTGAAGGAGAAAAGACTTGACCCTTAGTGGTAAAAGTCAGAAACTAGAGATTCACGGGTACCAGATAACATATCGCTGTCCACCATATGCTCTCCCAACTCACAAGTAATTAAACCTGAAACAAGCCTAATAGTAGTTTTTTAAACCTCCAACTTTATACTCTCTCCCAGAGTCCATCACTACAAATATTTACTGTTTACTGACAGCATTTGAGGTTCCCTCTAGATTCCTAGAAACGGAATGGTTGCTAACTACATGCTTTTGCTAGACCTCAAGACAACATTCAAGCCACACAAAAACTTAACAATAACAGTCCTCAAATATCTGACTTTCTCCTAACTCTCCTTCTATAAATTTCTACGTAACACTTGATGCTTTCTGTTTCATAAGAGATCAACGAATTTCCCCAGAAATTACCAAGAGGCACACAAAGCTTGGTTCAACTACTATTATTATTTTAAAAAATCTATCCCATCTTTCTACCAAAATAGCTATTAATATGACTTACCGTAAAAAAATATAAGTGTAAAGTAATACAGAATAAACGAGTTAAGAGCAAACACAAGGTCAAGTCCATCAAAAACAGCAACACACTAATAAAAACAGTACAAACAATTAGCAACATAGAATCAGCTGCCTAAAAACATGGCAGATAACTGAATATCCTACAGAATAAAATGGTTTTTACAGATCTCTGGAAGGTCAAAACCAAAGAGGCAAGAGAGGACACCTGGGGCAGAGATTTATGAGGTCTGAGGTCCCACTCCACAAGCAAAAGTGCCTTGGCTCGCGTGTCCAATCTCACACACACACCACCAAAAGTTACAGCTGAATACAAATAAAGAATTAAGGGTTGGACACAGCCATCTATGAATGCAAGGACTGCAGATCTTCCCCATACTCCCTTTCCACCAGCAATCCTTTTTTGACACCAGAGAAGTTTATTCTTGGGGCTGCAGGACCCTTGTGAACTAATGGCTATGTGGGTTGGGAGGCTACAGTGTGAAACAGGGATTCACCACCTCCCTCTTCCATCAGCAGAACTGCACCAAGAAAGAGGCAGAAAGGGAAATTCCATCCCTCCCTATTCACAGGCATTCTCCAGGCCCCAGGAACTGATTTCCCCAGGATTGGGAAAGGAATTCAGGAAAGATATGTGACTATACCAGCCATCTGCTGACATCCAACCTCAACTGATTCCAAAGTCACCATTCCCCAGCATGAGAGGAATCGAGAGGGACCTCCAGCTACAAAAAGAGAATCCAGTGTAAAATGACTGAATTAGAGTGCATCAAGAGGTTTGACAATCTCCTCCTCCACCCCACCCCCACCCCGTGCTCCCCACTGAACAAGTGTTTGGGATTTCTTAGTCATTATGCATCTAACCTATATTAACAAAACAGGGACTCCCCATACATTATAACTGTTAACTTGCCCAGCAAAACGACCATTGGTTACGCACCGTGAAGGGTCCTTCTCCTCTGAGGCTTGGAGGACATCTTGTGATCTTGTGGGCGATTCCCATCCATCACTTAGGGAGGCAGGACTAATTTCAATTACTTCCTGCTTCCTGTAGTGGGAGTCACCCTAGGTTCAGTTCTGGTGCTCCAAAAGCAATACACTAACTTAACCACTGTAAAAAAGAGAACTTGAACATCAACAACAAGAGTATAGCCAAATCACAAACACTGGAACAGGAAGAAAAAGGTGAGTCCTCTCTCTCATGTAATCTTATTATTATTTTTAAATAGAGTGTGAAAGAACAGCATAGTAGATAGAGGAAATGACGACCCGGGAGGGCCAAG